TTAAAAGTTATATAAAAATTTAAAAATAAATAAAAAGAATTTTTTATTTATTATTAATTAATAAAAATTTTAATTATAAATTATTTTTAAAAATAATAATAAATAAAATTAATATTTTTAAAAATAACATCAAAATTTTATATAACGATTTTTTGCTTGCCCCATATGAATCGTGGCCTTGGAGCACTACGAACCGGCTATGGGAAGATTTTTAAGAACTCTGTATATGAAGTCAACAGAATTTTCGAACTTGTTCAACTCAGAGCTTTCAACTGGATCAAAGGTAAAGTAAATGGTTATTCTTTTACCATGTACGAGTGGATGATGGAGCCAGTGTTGTGCGTTAAAGCTAAACGGAAGAAGTAACCCGGACTTGCATGGACGAAATGTTTCTGCAGGTATTTTTGTGACTGAACCGTTCTGAACCTCAGCTTGCAGCTGAATGGTTCCGATAGGGTCAGGAACAGTACTGCTGGTTTTTGTCCAGCTATTGTAATTTGATTTAAGGGCAGGGGTACCCCTTGTACTCCAAAAAATCCAAATCCTTTTGCAGTGCAAAAAAAAAAAAAAAACGAACCGGCTATGGCAAGTATCCTGTATCTCCTTAAAGGATAAAGATTTTTTTTTTTTTTTTTTTATGAAACCATCTCTGTAATTAAAGTTAAGAACGCCAAGCTCACCCCTATGCGGTTCAGTGGGCACGCTGCTCATTTGAGAAGCAAAGGGGGCATCTTATTCTCTGGGTTGATTGAGTTCAGTGCTCGATATCTAAATTCACTTTCAAAGTATAATGATAGTGATGGATCCATTCTTAAATAAATAATAATTTATTTTTTCACATAATTAATGAAAAAATGACAGATCTGTTAAATAATGAGTTATTTATCCAAGCAAAAAATTTTATAAGTGATTTTGTCTCTCTTTTTTGTTTGAGGTAGATTTGAGTATTTTGCATTTTTTCTACCATCCCTTTCCATACCAAACTTTTTTATATATTTGGTAATAATAAGTTATATAAGAGAGACTAATCTTTTTATTTTCCTAAATCTCTCTTTTTGTTGAATCAAGATTGAAACATGAGATTTATAGTTCAGAATCTTTAATTTTTATTTTTAATCATTAAGTCACCTCTGTATGGGTTCCTTTCTGTTTCTTTTACTTCTACAATTTCTTTCCTTAAATATCCATGTTTTATATGATATTAATGTCATATGATGTTGAAAATGCTATATTTACAATACCATGCAATATTGCAAGTGTACAACATAACAATATCTAATTAACTCTTTTCATTCCAAGATTTAACCTATAATATTGCATATATTTATTTGTTTAATATTATATTTTATTTTATTAAATACCACATAAGATTGTAAGTGGCATTAAAACTATAGTATTACTGATATGATATTAGTGTCCACGATTTCAAGAAATAAGAAATTCATAATGTTAATCTCCTTAAATTATATATGGTAAAAGAAAATTATGAGAGTCAACCTAGTATTTTACTCTTAGATCTGTCATTATGTTGAAACCATACGAAACCAAGAATTAATACTAAATTATCCAGAATAAATCGAGAATTAAGGCGTCTACCTGGCATATCTATCGTACCATTAATTTCCAGGAGCAAACATACTACACCGAGAGTGTGCTTCCTTAGGAAAAGAAAAAGTGTTCATAGAAATACCGGCAATCGCGTGCATTCAATCCTTTTTTGCAACTATAAATACAAATTCATTCCATCCAATTTTCAGTCTTTGAACCAAAAAAAAAAAAAAAAAATCAGTCCATGGTGATTTATTGTTCTTATTTTCCTTTCTCTTTTTCTACAGTGAAAAATTAAAAAGAAGAAATGGTTAGCAGAGAGACAGATAGGACCACTATAGGAATAATTAGTATCGAGCTAGCTCAACAGACCCATTTCCATGCATGCATGATACAAAAATAAAATTCTAATTTTTTTTTTGTCCCCAATCTCTGTGTGCAGGAAATATTACCTTCCTCTCTCGTTATTTCTCTCCCCATCGTACGTATTTTGGTTTTTTCAATTTTTACTACTAAAACAGGTGGTAATTTGTATTTGATTGATATTGAAATTTAATTTACAGGCCAACTTATATTAAGATATTTAAACAAAAATCGGTGGAAGAATTCAAGGCTGATCCTAGCGCAGCATCAGTTCAGAATTACATGTTATACATCTTTTATGGCCTCCCATTTGTTCATCCCAAAAGCCTTCTAGTAATCACAATCAACCTCATCGGACTCGGTATTGGGCTCTTGTACCTCACGATGTTTTATCATTTACGCTCCATGGACAAAGCATGTAAGTATTATAACTAACTTATTTTTGCCAGTGGTTTTATTTAATTGATTACGAATGAATTAATTAATATATGCAAATTAAATTAAATTAAATGCTGATGCAGAGGAGAGTCTTCTTGTACCTCGAAGATTTCAGGTCATTGGGATCTGTGGCACTGGAAACCACTGCAATCACGCAAAAAACGACACCAATGCATAACCTCACACGGTCACAAGCCATTGCCACACGACACATTCATAACCCCAACAAAAACCCACAAGCCATTTCGTTGAAAAGCCAAGAAACAGGCACAAGAAACAGAAAAGTTGGATCAAAACAGGAACTTGGAGAAAGGAAAACAGTATGTGTAAAAAATAAATAAATAAAAATGAAGTACAGTGATACATGCACTTTATCAATATAATAATTGACGAGACACATTGTATTAAAAATTATTGACATCAATAATTTGATATAAAATAAAGAAATACTTATCCTTGCTATTTAGATTGCATTCCTTGGTTTATGTTTTCTAACACACTCGTTTACAATAATTGAGAGTAGAGTTGTAGAAGAATCTCAAATTTTGTTTTGCTCAGCTGAGATTTTTTCGATTGATATGAAACCGGTGTGGCTGGCATAGATTGGCAATGGTTGGTGGAGATTGACTGTCATTGGTGTGGATCAGCAGTCGCGACAAAGATCAATAATCACTGGCATGGATTGACAGCCATGGGTCGAGATCAGCAGTCACTAGTGTGGATCGGTAGTCGCTGGTAGAGGTTGACAATCGCTGGTATGGATCGACAGTCATGAGCAAAGATCGACAATTATGAGCATGGATCAACAGTTGCTAACAAAGGTCGATGCCTCTTTAAGCAATTTTCTATTTCCAAATGTAAAGGGATTTTACTCTGATTTTATTTACTGATTATGTTTAGAATTTCTCGAATTTATGTTATAGAATATAATTTGGATAAGTGAAAATAACTTTTAAATAACTATAAAGAATAATGATATAAAAGACGAATAAAAGGGATGAAATTTTTGAAACCAATAACGTGATAAGTCATGTTGTTAATATATTCATTTAAAAAATTTTAAATTATGTTTTCCTATTTATGTTCTACCTCCCTTTTGGTTTATTTTATTTTATTTCAAAATCTCCTATCTTTTTCTCTCATCTCCCCATTTTTGGCTAAGCTCCTCCTCCAGTGAACTTCGTTGAACTCCAGGACCGGGTTCAACTAGATCCTAACAATCAAAATCCCATAGCCATGGTTTTAAAATTTCAAAAAAGAAAGAAAGAAAAAAAGAACAAGAAAAACTAAACTCTAACTATTTGGTAAAATTGAACCTCATTGATAAAAATTTTAAATTTACAGTTAATTTTTGCAAGGGATGAAGATCTGGAAGATAAATAATGAAGATTTGAAAGAAAGAATTTGAATTTGGATGAACCTAAAACAAAAAAGAAAAAAAATTGTAAAAACATGAGGAGAAGTGGAAAGAAGGTAAGAGAAGGTAAGACGTCTGCCACCCCATATTCGTCTAGCAAATTCACCCCTTTTTTTTGACTTTTTTATTATTATTTAACTATCAAACACCATTAAATCATTTATTTATAATTAAACGAAAAGAGTATACATCTGAAGGTGTTAGTTCTAAGTGTGCCCGTACTATTTTACAAAAGTTAAATCCCAAAAGCGAATATTTTTTAAAGAAGTAAAAATGGAGAATGAGAGACACATTTTCTATGAAAAGGTTATCGTTTCCTTTTTATGGCTTTAATCCTCATTTTCCGGTTACCGAAAACATTCCAAATCTTAAAAGAGTGTGCGATTCTACGACCACCGACTCTCTCCCTTCCTTCCACTCCTTGTATACCAGTACTAGAAATATTTTCCTTGTTTTCTAAAAAGTATAATAAAAATAAAAAGCCAAATCCCTATATCTACTACGTTTATTATTTTTTTTTATAATTTTCACTTT